CTGTACAAAGTGACTTAGAAGTACATCCATCTAAGTTGATAATGCGACGTTTCAAAGTTTATTGCAATTGTGGAAATAATTTTATAATGTATGCCCTGTGGTACAAACATTTTATTGTGAAAACCTTATTGATATGTATTTGGAATTAATGAGGTATTCTCTCATATCAGGGCCTCAATTAGAAATTTAAATATATATATTTTTCTATCCAGGACTTCTTCAGGCTAAAGACCAGGTTTGTTGGGGGATGGGCCATATGGGCCAGGCTCTAGGCTACCTTCCACCAAGTGCCTAGATTGGGTGTGGCATTGAGGTTGAATAGGGAATCTGGATGTAGCCCGAGGCTATCAGACCAGTAAAAGACAATGATGGGCTAATAATAGATAATAAAAAAAAAGCCAGTCTAGAGGGGTGGGAGTGGCCCCAGGAGAATGTTGGACCTGGTGAAGGGGTCCAGAAAGAAAGAAAGATTTTTATTGGGTCTGTTTCAAGTTTTTAATATGCTGCTTACATTGGTTCTGAATTTTCTTACATGATGTAATCTGGTAAGCAATTGTATTAGTTATGTTGTTGGAAGGGCAATTTATTTTATGATGTGGAATGTTAGATTAAGAATTGTGCCTTCAGAGAAAAGAGAAAAAGAAATGAGTGGAGCTGTTGGGGCATTCTATATGATCCCATTTTGTAACATTTCCTTTTAAGTACTGTAATTTAAGAAATGAGAACTTCAAAGTTTTGTCTATGTTTAAAGGGAAAGTTTTAGCTGGGATTATTTGACTCTCAGCTGTGAAGTTTAAAATTGTTCACTAAGCTGTTTGGAGTTATTGTTTAAGTGAAGTACTGGTAGAAGTATTTTTGTGTGAGTAAAGAAACTATGTAATTATGCGAAGAAAGAGATTTTGTAAAATCTCAATTTTTATCAATCCTGTGCAGGAGTTTTGTGAGATGGAACTCTTACTGATTAAGTGGCCCATTGCAGATACCTCTGGACTAAAGAAATTAGGTAACTAGGAATTTTATGGTGATAGTCATTTAAGACCAATTGAGCCCAAATAAGGGCCAAAAACCTGATCTGATCTTTTCTTCCTGAGTGAGCTAATACCCCTTCCTGTGTCAACAGTTAAAGCTCATCAAGAGCATTCTTACGTTTATGAAATCTGATTTTACTCAGGATGTTCTTAGGAACCAGAATATGTGTAGGAAGTTATGCAAACTACTTAGAGCTCACTTTGGAGATGTTCCCTAATTAATGTGAAAATATAGTCACACCTGAAGCTCTGATGAGGGGAATTTGCTATCTAAGACATTGAAAACTGTTAATGAACTATTATTCTGAGTCTAACTCCAGGTATGATTAACAAGAAGCTGATTGAGCTATTGACCCATGATGTCAGCAACCTGCAAAGAGGTTTTTGAGCTGCATCTATGAGCTGCAAGAGGGTATTCTCATGGGAAGGTCGGGAGAATGACTTTTCTGCATGGCTGAGGTAGGATTCTCCTGACTCAATTTCCCCACTATGACACCTGGCAGACTTTAAGTGTAGCTGAATGCAGTTGGTCATATATATGTAACTTCTGCTTAGAGTTGACATGAATCTAGGGAAGCATTGTTCCCTTACTTTAATTATGTTCTTTCAGGGCAAATTGCTACAATCATAAGTTTGTAAGCATAAATATTGAATCTATTAAACAATAGATTAATGCGGGAACATCTGAGGTTATTATAGTAAGATGCAAGTATAAGATTGAGTTATTTGGCCTGGAATTTCAGAATAGTATTCAGTCTTGACATCTGTTACTAATATATTCCTATATAAGTCGGGATCCTTTAATTTCTCATAATGGTTATGATGAGGTCTGGAGGTTTGGAGGTGCTGGGACTCCAGGGTCACAGCACAAGCGTTCCTCCAGAAGGAGTTCAGCCCACGTCTTTCAGTCAAGGGGGAAGTTTGTTGGAGATAAACCATATAAGCCAGTTAAGTGAAGTATAAGGGTTTTCTGGGGCCCATAGACAAATGGGAGCCAGATTCTCTCTGGGGCCAGGAGCAAAGGTCTCAGCTTGGATCCATACCCCATCATTAGGGGATAATTAGCCAAGAGATTGTGGAAGTAGGATATTATTCTGTTACTTAGTTAATACTTAGTTAATGTTAAAGTTGTCTCAATTTGTTACAAATTAATGTTAAAAGAGGAATAGCTTGTGACTTATCTTGTAAATGCCTTGAAAGAAGCAACCATTTTAATTAAGGATTATTTATTTGGACATGACCAGAAGTTGGGTATTTAGTTTAGTATTTGATATGTACTGACTTTAAATTAACTACCACGTATTGGAGTGTGTTATTAATTCCTTAGTGGAATCTCATCCTCCTGATGGGGAATATGAATAGGAATGAATAATGAACCAATGCAAGGTATGGAACTAGAAGTAATTCAGAGTGTAAGGCTAGGTTCTAGTTTTTCTAATTTGAGTTTCTTAAAATATGACAATTGGCCAAGGTTCCAATTTTGACCTTGTAATAGTGGAGACATGGGGGTTGAGTTAACTTTCATTATTTGCCCTGGTTATTGGCAAGATAATTTAAAATTGTATTAAGATCAATCTTGTAGGAGAGAGAGGACATAAGAAGGAGGATCTCTGCAGGAGGGGAGTCTGCTGGACACTGTTTGAATGGCACTTGGAGCAGAGGACTTCACCAGATGATGTCCAGAATGTCAGACAGCTGTATGAGAAGAGACTTCTGAAGCTTCAAACAGACAATTTATTGTTACTTTTGGGTCTCTGTATCTGTACTTAACAAGGGGACTGCCCCACTTTTTATTTTAATTTGTCAATGCATCATTCACTTTCTCCCATATTATTTTAAGTCCCCAAAATCCCCTGATGAAATGTTGCCCAGTAGCACAGCCCCAGATAGAACCATCACTAAGGCATTGCAAGATTTAACCACTTTTAGCTGAGGAATTGGCAGAGAACTCTGAGATAGATAATTAATTAAAGGGATGGTTAGAATACTAACTGCTGTAGGATATTGTATAGTTCCATGCAATAAGGGACTAGTACAACGATTGATAATCTCACTAAAGATTACCCCAGTAGGACCCACAGTGGGAGTTCAGAGGGCAGGCTCTGGCAATACAAAGATGATGATTGAAAGTACCAATGAGACTTTCCACAATGATGTGGCTTATTCCGAATCTGTTAAATTAAGGATTTTAAGGGAGCAAGTTTCAGCAAATCTGGGGAATAATGATAGGGAAACAAGGACTATGAAAATAGGGGTGTGGTATGATAGTATAAAACAAGGTGGCAAGCTGGTTGATGAACTATATCAACAATGGTGTGAGAAGTCTTCAGACAGTATGAAATAAGAGGGGGGACTGAATGAGATAACCTCTGTAAAGACTTCTCAGGGTGGTGATGAAGAGTTTCTCGAAACTAGAGATAGGCTCTGAGAGAATGAACAGTCCATAAGTTTAAGTTACCTAAACCTATAGGAATTCGGACCTAAAAACTCCCTCCTGATTGCCACTGCCACGTCAGCATTAGGTTTACTAAATAAGGACATGTATGTTTGGATTGGGTATACCCTGTTTCCTTGTTCTTTGGGAATGGGAAAGATTTTCATGCCCAGAATGTAAGCCTGCCTCCCAGCCAATGGGAGTAAGGGATAGTGGTGGGGTGGGAGTTTCTTGTTTGCCTTAAGATATATAACCTTGCTTTGTTCTTTGTGCCTCACCTCTCTCCTGCTGGTAGTGTACTGGAGGAGTAGATGCCCCTTCTCGCGAGACTGTAATAAAGAGTAACTTTTGTTTCCTTGAGAAGTCTCTGAGTTTAATTGTGTTAGAGTCACTGTACCACACAATGAGATGATTCCTATACACCAAATCTAATCTCAGCAAACACTTGAGGCATGCCATAGCTCCAGGAAATGAGAAGGCAAAGACACCTCAGTGGACAGATAACAATTACCTACCTGCTTGTTCTTCCACACACTCAGCATGCCCATCTCCCATCTCCATGCCTTTACACTGGATAGCCCACATGCCCAGAATGCAATACTTCCCCTCTACCTTTTAGAATTCATAGGTTCTTTCAAATCTCAGCTCAAGTGCAGTGGCATCACCTTCCACCTCAAAATCACCTCATATTTATTTTGCAGGTGTTTTGTTATGAATATGTTGATTACCCAGATGCAATGTAGCCATAATGGCCAGCACTGAGGAATCACTTAATAAATTCCTTGTTGAGGGAGTATTGAAAAGTCATCCTTAACCAGTGTCAACCTTGAAGAGTTCATTCTAAGAAAGACAAACAAAATTAGGGGTATGTGCATATTTGTTTCTCTCAAAGCAGTGGACATGCTTATGTCCATGCAAGGGAATTCATTTGGAAATGAGCTCAAAGAAAGGTTAGTTGAAGGGGATTATATAAGGATCTGCTCCCTCCTCCCTTTTGACTCAGGATGCCTGTGTCAGCCAAAATGAGAGTTTCCATAGAACAAGACAGTGTCCCCAGGATGTCTGGGCTCTGTAGCCATAAACAAGGGGATGTCATAAAATATGAGAGTGTCATAACAAGAGAGGGCCAGAAACCAACATGGTAAGAGAAATGCCATTGATCAAGACAGTGTCCAGTTCAAGATGTCTGGCCTTTATCAGTCATAAACAGGACAATGCTCCCAGTCAGTTTCAGCAGGTCTTCTGAGTGCTGACGTAGCCAGAGAACCTTGGGGTAACTCAGAGAGCATCACAAAAGATTATAATAAGGGCACAAATCATCCACTCCAATGGGCTAGTCCAGATGTTGGGCTTTCTTCAGGTGATAAAGGGCTGAAGTGGGTCTCACACAAGGGTGTGTCAAGTCCTGAAATAAATTTTGTTTCTGTTTGTTTTTGTTTTGGCTAGGCAATGGGGTTAAGTGAATTGCCCAGGGTCACACAGCTAGTAAGTGGTATATGTGTGAGGCCGGATTTGAACTCAGGTCCTCCTGAATACAGGGCCGGTGCTCTATAAGTCCTGAAATAAATTAAAGCCATAAGTTAAAGAATAAAGTGTCTTAATTGAGGTCATAGGGTAGCAAAGCTGCCACCCAGCAGGTTGTCCCATGATTGCAGATCACAATGGATTTCCCAAACTAGAGATCTATGAAAATATTTTCATACCTTTAGGAAGGAAGGGGAGGAGCTAGCAAGGCGTGGTCATGAGGTGCCAGATGCCTTGGACAATCAGAACAAGGAAAGCCACTTCATTCTGGCTGTTTGGTCCTTCATGCCATGAATCCTAACAAAGAATGTCGGGCCAACCTGGCTCCAGTTGATTTTGTTTAAAGGGAAAGATTCCAAGGTGGGGGCTGGTTGGTGTTGTTCATGGTTTATCCTTCTTTCTGGAAGAGGACCAATGACATCAGGAGGGAGACAGCTTGACTTGCAAGTGAATTGGATTTAAGTGAGGCAGAGCTGTGCAAAGACATCAGCCTCACTCTCTCCTCCAGAGTCACCAGAGATCAATGGCAAGACATAGGTCAAGATGACTCACACAATGGCCCCAGAAGAAGTGGGAAGAGAGGTCTTTCCCAGGTTTCAGTTTTTCTTTTCTCTTTCTCAGGTCTCAGGGTCCATCTCCAGTCATCCTGATCTATGTCTCACCACTGAACTCAGATGGCTCTCCAGGAGAGAGTGAGGTTGGTGACTTTGTACAGCTCTACCTCACTTAAATCTAATGGACTTGCAATTTAGACATCATCTCCCTGATGTAATTAATCTCTTCAAGAACAAAGGATGAGCAATAATCTGTGAAGAGGAGTAGCTGCCCAGGTCCAGTTAGGCAATGCTCCCTCTTTCTTTCCTTCCTTCCTTCCTCAATTTTTCTTCCTCCCTTGCTCCCTTTCTCCCTTCCTCCCCATGGGGAATCATACACTTGCATTTGGGTGCTCTGACCAAAGGAATGTAAATTGCTTGAGAATGAGTTGTAGAAAACCAGGTTTTGATAAAACCCATTCAGATTCAAATGGAGCTACTTCACTATGACTTACAGACAAACCACTCTGGTTCTCACTGACTGGTCAATAATAAGTCCCTGCTCAAGCCTCTCTGGCTCACTGTTTAGGTTTTGATAGCACAGAGTGAGTATAAAGAGCAATTGTTCCGGTATTGGACAGAAACCCTGAGGGTCTTCCCCTCCCAAATTGTTTTGTGACTTGATCTCCCTACTAACCTGGCTGGAAATACCACAGGTGCTCACAGGCTTGATTCCACTGGTGAATGGCATGGAAACTTTCTGAGTGGAGGAAAGGAGATGATGGACTTTAATAGGAAAAAGACACCTGAATAACCATATTGTTCCTTTTGGCCTCAGTTTCCCCATTTAAAAATAAAAGGTTGAAATCAGCAATCTTTTTTTTTAACTTTTAGAAAGACATAACAGAAATACAGAAGAGAATAATACATTCTCTTCAACAGCTCAAGGGACACATTCTCCCTATACCACCTGGTGGACCAGAGAATCTCCAAAGTCCCCTCCATCTCCATTTCATCCAAGCCTGTGTCCTTAGCTAAGGGTCCTTAAATATTGCTGGTTCCTCAGTCTTAGTTTTCTTTCTAATTCAGCTCCTTCCTCTCTTTCTTAATTCTGTTCTTTGCAAAGACCCTTGTCAACTCTTGGTCTCTAGACCCAGGGCCATCTTACCTCTCCTGGAAAGGTAGAGAGGCCACCCCACCCAACCCCAGTTTATGGTCACAATTGACCACTTACCACAGCCAACTCCACCACAGAGTCCAGTCTAGGGCAGAAGCATTTAATATGGGAATTTAAAAAAAGGCTACATGAGGTCACACCTCCAAGGAAATGCAATTGAGCCACTCCCTCCATTTGCACATAACCACTGATGGGGTCCTTCAGTTCAGGCAGGACCAGCACTGTTTTGCATAGTGATATCAAAGGGAAATTTCACAAACTCACCCTGAGATACAAATATCTCCCATCAGTCTCCCTCTGAGCTCAGAGCTCTCTGCCTCCAGCTCTACAAGGGTCACAATGCTCTCCCAGTCCTTGCTCCTCTGGCTGCTACTGCTCTGGCCTCAAGGTAAGACTTCCAATGAGCCATAGTTTGGCATCACTTTAGAGACAGAAGGAGTTTTCCAGTGGGCATCTCTGACACAGTCTGAGGGTAAGGGAAGTACTCCTGCATTCAATATCTCTACACAGGACTCTTCATTCACTGAAATATTTCTTCTTCTCCATTAGAATCCCAGGCAGCCATTGTACTGACCCAGTCCCCAGCCTCCCTGTCTGTGGCTCCAGGAGACAGAGTCACCATCAGCTGCAAGGCCAGTTCCAGCATTAGCAAGTGGATGAACTGGTTCCAGCAGAAACCAGGACAGGCCCCCAAGCTCCTGATCTATGATGCTTCCTCCCTGCAGTCTGGGGTCCCTGCCAGGTTCAGTGGCAGTGGCTCTGGGACAGATTTCACCTTCACCATCAGTGCAGTTCAGGCTGAGGATGTGGCAGATTATTACTGTTTTCAACATAGTGGTTATCCACTCCCACAGTGTTTCAGACCTGAACAAAAACCTCTCCAGACTGCTCAGCCCTTCAGCATAGGGGAGCAGCTGCTTCCCCAGTCACAGGCTTGGCCCAACCACTGCCCTCAGGGGAGAATTGGGCTTAATTTAGCCCTGCTGCAGGAATCATTTGTCCCAGGGACCCTGGTTGAGGTAGAAAAATTAAGAAGAGAGAGAAAAAGGAGGAAGAGAAAGAATCTTCTGCCTGCTATACTTTAGCCAAGGACCACAAACCTTCCCATGGGGGCTGCTTCCAGGAGCTGGTCTCATTCTTATGCTGCCCTCATAGTTGAAGACAATGTGATGGTCACGGATCCAGTGAGAGAGAGGTCTTCCCTAGGTCTCAGTTTTTCATTTCTCTTTCTCAGGTCTCAGAGGCCATCTCCAGTCATTCTGATCTATATTTTGCTACTGGACTGAGATGGCTCAGAAATACAGAGTGAGATTAGTAACTTTACCTAGCCCTGCCACACTTAAATCCAATTCACTTGCAAGTCAAAACATCACCTTCCTGATGTCATTAGTCTCTTCAAGAACAAAGAATGAGCAACAATCCGTGAAGAGGAGTAGCTGCCTTGCTGGGTATCCCAAATGTCAAGCTGCAGTTAGGCAATGTTCTTTCCTTCATTCCTTCCTTTCTTCCTCAGTTTCTTTCTTTCTCTCTTCCTCCCCATGGGGAATCATACACTTATATTTGGGGGCTCTGACTATAGGAATATAAATTGCTTAAGACTGAGTTCTGGAAAACCAGGCTTTGGTAAAAACCCATTCAGATTCAATTGGAGAGACTTCTCTGTGATTTCAATCCACAAACTCTGGCTGTCACTGATTGGCCAATAATAAGTCCCAGCCCAAATCTCTCTGGGTCATTGTTAGGGATTTGGTGGCTCAAAGGGAGTGTACAAAGCAATTGCTATTTTTCTGGACAGAAACCCTGAGATCTTCCCCTCCCAAATTGTTTTGGGAGTACATCTCCCTATGTCGCCTGACTGGTTAGAGCTTGGTTAAACATCAAACAAGCCAAGGTCACTCACTGCATGTCCAGCCATCACCAATCACCTTGACTATCCTGCCACTGGACTGTGATCCCTGTGGAGGGGAGAAGGAGGCTGACAACTTCATGCACTTGTGCTGCACTTAAACCCAATTCACACATGAATCAGTTGATGTCACCCATACATTTTACCATTTTTACATATTTCAGAGTACTGTAGTGACAGACAAGTGACAAGCAGCAGGTGCAGATACACTGGGAGCTGAAGTCACAACCCTGCACACAGGTGACCCAGGCCATAGGGTCATTTCTCACTGGAAGCAGCAGTGGGATTCAGCAGCCTCCTGGGTATCTGAGCAGCCTCTGTGAAGGACCACACTGCTCACTTCCTGGTGTGAGGAAAGGGCTAGTAAAAGTGCCCTCAAAATCCTCTGCTTATCCAACCCTGGCCTGATTACCATGGGAGGCAGGGATCTCACCCTGTAGTGGAAATGTGGAAAAATGTACAAAAATGTCTGCAAAGATGATTCCACTCACCATCAGGATAGGGAATGTACACACACTTAGAGGCAACACAAAATCCAATAGACCTGAAAGACAAAAAGCTCTTGTTTCAAGAGAACTCAGCCAGGACCCATTCAAATAGCAGCCCTGAGTGAAACTAATTCCTGTACCTGATAGGAGAATCTTGTAAAGATTGGAGGGTCCAACAATAAAAGGAGCTCTTCTACCTTTTATAATTATCAAACAGATACTTCAATAATAGGAAAATGATTTCACTTTCTTTTCCATTATCCATACAATCTATGTGTAAATTCCAATTTTGAGAACTTATCACCAAAACATGCTCATAGCTTGAATTTCCATGAGGGATGAGTTGTAGACATCTATATAGAGTTAATCCTAGTAATAGTAATCGTAATAAGAGTAATCATAGACATCTCTATAGAGTTCTTAGAGAAAACGGGCTAATCCTGTTGCATTTCTCCAAATTTACTATTGTATTTAAATAGAAAATGATCACTTTATATCTTTGTCTTACTACATTGTGTAATGATATCCCCCTTAGGAGGATATCATACCTATATTATTATTTGACCACAAATATAGGATAAAATTATAAGATATTCATACTTGCATCCTATTACAGTAACTCAGAGTTGCTCTAGTATCAACCTATTATTTAATAGATGTAGTATTGTATTACTACACTTCTCTATTATAGAAATTTGCTATAAAAGGAAAAAGAGGAACATAGCTGTAAAAACATCCTATATCATAACAGAAGGGGAAAACTCCCTTAGCTGTTTCTTTCCAGGTATGAGTCATATCTCACAGCTAATCATGTAGTCACTCGGTGTTAAAAGCAAGGCTCAGGATTAACCAGTTGGAAATTGTCCTTTTCAGAAAGGAAATAAAACAATGAGGATAAAGAGTCAGGAGGATCCCACCAGGGCCCTACCACCATCATTCCCAAAACTTTGCCCTGGCACAGACATTCACCTTTAGCAGTTCCCAGACTGCAGCACATGCCATTTTCTACCATTAGCTTCATGCCAGTTCAGACAACGATCCCTGTAATCAAAGCTTAAAACAATAGTAAATTACACTCGATAGATTTTTTACCTTAAATAGCAACATTTCACTAACCACAACTTAGGGCTTGAATATCCTTCCTGATGTTTCTGTAACAGTGTTTCATTTATCCTTTATGTGGTTGGGGGATTATGAGGCCATGAAACAAGGAAGTGCCCTTGACTTAGGATGTCTGTGCAACCTTAATATGATCTTCTGGTTGCTGACACAGCAGGAAAATTTCAGGTTCACTTAGAGACCATCGCATAAGATTGTTGGCATCTCAGTTCAGAAGGGCTTAAATTGTCCTCTCTGATTGGCCAGTCCACATTTTTGGCCTTCGTTGGGTAATGAAGGGCTCAAGCAGGTCTCATGTCCTATACACCAAATCTAAACTCAGCAAACTCTAAGGCATCCCATAGCCTTCAGGGAGTCAGAAGGCAATAATACCCCAAGGGATGGGTGACAATTCCTGACCTTGTTCTTCCACACACCCAACATTCCCATCTCCCATCTCCATGACTTTGTACTGGAGAGCCCCCATGCAGGCCCTCCCCTCTACCTTTTAGAATCCTCAGGTTCTTTCAAATCTAGGCTTCTACCTGAGAAGGTGGCATCACCTACCCTCTGAAAATTACCTCATATTTATTTTGCAGATGCTTAAATAAGAATATGTTGAATACCCAGATGCAATGTATCCATAATGTATACCACAAAGGAATCATTTAATAAATTGCTTGTTGAGTAAGTGATTGATTGATTAATTGATTAATTGATTGACAAGTCATACTTAATAAAGGAGTGTCAAGTCCTGAAATCAATCAAAGCCACAAGTAGAGAAATAAAGCATCTTTAGAGGAGATTCTAGGGTAGCAAACCTGCCACACTGGGAGACGTCCCATGAGTGTAGAGTAAAATGGATTTCCAAATTTAGAGATCTATGAAAAGTTTTTTACCTTTAGGAAGGAAGAGGCGAAACTAGCAAGTCCTGGTCATGAGATGCCAGCCCCCCTGGCTGATCTGAGCAAGGAAAACCACTTCATTCTGGCTGTTTTGTTCTTCATGATGGGTGGGATGCCCTTGTGAAGACTTCTCAGTGTAATTAAGGTTTGGGATAAGATTATCCTGAACTTGGAGATAAGTTCATGAGGCAGAATAGGATAAGTATAGATTTCTATAGTTCCCCCAGTGTTAGGTCAGTAGTTAAAGATTGCCAAACCTGATACTTTGAAAGCCCCCTGTACCCCCATACATTCCAGTCACGGTGACCTTCCCACGGTAGTGTCTAGCTTGAATGCGCATTTTAAATGTTTCATTTTGGTAGCAAACTAAGGGGATTGTTTCTTTGTTATATTGTTTCTTTGTTCTCTGTCTCTGGGAATAGATTTCCCTGCTTAGATTGTAAACCAAATATTGGATAGTTGGTGGGAGGGGGAATTTTCTCCGTTAGGGTTAGTTAAGCTCGCTTTTTGCTTCTGTAATTTGTCTTCCTTCATCAGAAATCATACTGGTGCAGAGACACCCGATTCTTGAGAATTGAAATAAACTTTCTGTTCCTACTTTGAGATACCTCTAAGAGTCTTTTTTTTTAGGTCACTATCCCACACAATGACATGAAACCTAACAGATGGAGTAAGAACTTCAGGGGCCAACCTGGCTCCAGCTGGTTTTGTTTACAGGGAAAGATTCCAAGGTGGAAGCTGTTGTTGTTTGT